AAGCAATTAATAGCAATTAAAAAGTAAAAGTATTTGAGGTAGCTGGTATTAGCTAGTAAAAAAAAATAATAATAATGCACAATAATATAATAATAACGTACACTATATGCACCACACGTATATATTTGTTAAGGACACTTATCTAATCTGTTACACAAATGTCCGCTTTTCTAAGGAAGGTAGAGAAATCATGTTCATTTGAGATGGTGTATTGTTGTCCTGTTGAGGTTTTTATAACTAGTATTTTCCCATCTCGCGTGAAACACTGATGTATTTTGTTTTCCTGTTTAAGTTTTCTCAACCTGAACAGAAGGTTTTGACGTTTTCTCGTTAGACACTCGTTGATGTACACTCCATTTTTCATTGTAATTGCTGATTTAATTAAGTCCTTTCTTTATCATATGAATGAAGTCTGATCATAATACTGTGTTTACTACCTTGTTTTCCTAACAAACGTGTTTCTTTAATTTCATTGTTTTGCAGGATAACTTTTACGTGGTCCTGTGTTATCCTGACAGCAGTTTCTTTGCACTGTTCTTGGGTTATTTCACTAGGAATGTGTGGACTGTTTATTATAACTGCATCAGACAACTTATCTTGTTCGGTTTTGTCGTCTTGGAAATCAAGGTATTCATTCAGTCGAGTGTGCTAGAAGTTTGTCCACTAGACTAAACAAATAAAAATACGCATGCAACTGGGACAATATGAGTCATACTTGCAACTAGGGCAACATGAGTAACGCATGCAACTGGGACAATATGAGTAATGCATGCGGGATGCACAGGATCACGAAGGGACACCTGATGAGCTGGGGCGGCGCTCAGATGATCATCACTGAGCAACATCTCAGCAGACACCAGTGTTTTGAAACTTGTTTGATTGTCTTAATAAACATAGTTACTAAACAAGAAGAGAGTTAAACTATTGCCACACAAGCACACATGATAAACATGTTTCACCTTTTGCCCTCTCTCCCAGGTACTACCGTCAGGCGACTCACCACTGCCACTTAAGGGGTCTTCTTATTTTGTTTTTCCATCCGTGTATATTTGGAGTGATCAGAGTTCCAGTACCGAAACTCTGCCATTTTATTGGACAATGTCCTAATGTTTGCAACTTCTATTTTCCTTCCTTATACTTCAGCTTTTTATAAGATAAGAGTTTGTTTGGATTTTTAACCCCAGAGGGTTAGCCACCCAGGATAACCCAAGTGTGAATTATTATTATTAGCAAATCACCTGCAGAAGGTTTACAGGGCATTACCTGAATTATTACCTGCAAGTAATTTGGGTGAGGTAAGTGGGACTTAAGTCACAGTAGGTCACTGAACTGCAACTCCTTCGACTGCCCACTTCCTCTCCACTTTCACTAAAAGCTAGACCTGATATTAAATTAATGATTATAAAATTAAAACCAGCTACTCTGGTACATTGAAGTTTAGTGGACTGTATGGTATTTTGGTTTACTTGCTAGGAACAACAAATATAATTGGTATTAACACTTACCATTTAATTACTGGAAGACACTTAATGCTGATGGAACACACCCTAACTATACCCTAGCAGATAGGATTTACGAAGGCCATTGCAAAAACTTATACGTTATGGGTAATCGTCACTTAGCTGTATTGTTGGGAAGGATTCATTGAAGTCCTCTATTTTCGTCCTCCACACGCAGATTTTGAGGTCCCGCAAATTTCCTGTCCCAACTCTAAAGTAGGAACGTGTCAGCAATTTCTAAATTACGAATTGAGGCTGATATAAACCAATTTGGCCTCAGAAGATGCCGAATTATTAGTTGAAGTTCCCACGACAACCAGTGTTCACACATTCAAAATGGCGTCTCCCTCGACGTCCCCACTGGCTGTTCCACATCCCCCTTCACTTAAAATTTCTAGAAGGGTCCAAATAGCATCACATTTTAATACGCAATTATTATATTATTCATTTTGTTCTACATTTATGAAATTATGTAAAAAAAAATCACACCAAGGATGTCAGTGCATCATCGAGGGCTGCCTGTCTTATTTCCATTAGAGTCCTTCAATCTTGCCCCCAGGATGTGACCTACACCAGTCGACTAACATCCAGGTACCTACTTACTGCTAAGTGAACAGTGACAGCAGGTGTATACCTGAAGAGGGCTTCGGGGGTCAACGCCCCCGCAGCCTGGTCTGTGACCAGGCCTCATGGTGGATCAGGGCCTGATCAACCAGGCTGTTACTGTTGTCCACATGCAACCCGACGTACGAACCACAGCCCGGCTGGTCGGGTACTGACTTTAGGTGCCTGTCCAGTGCCTTCTTGAAGACAGCCAAGACTGTTCAACTGGAGGCAGTTGAACAGTCTTGGGCCCCTGACACTTATTTTGTTGTCTCTTATCATGTTAGTGGCACCCCTGCTTTTCATTGTGGGGATGTTGCATCGTCTGTCGAGTCTTTTGCTTTCATAGGGAGTGATTTCCGTGTGCAAGTTTGGTACTAATCCCTCTAGGATTTTCAAGTGTATGTAATCATGCATCTCTCCTGCCTGTGTTCTACGGAGTACAGGTTGAGGACCTTCAAACGTTCCCAGTAATTGAGTGTTTTATAGCAGTTATGTATGCCGTGAAGGTTCTCCGTACACTTTCTAGGTCAGCAATTTCACCTGCCTTGAAAGGTTCTGTTAGTGTGCAGCAATATTCCAGATTAGCTAGAACAAGTGACCTGAAGAGTGTCATCGTGGGCTTGATATCCCTAGTTTTGAAGGTTCTCATTATCCATCCTGTCATTTTTCTAGCAGATGCGATTGAAACAATGTTATGGTCTTTGAAGGTGAGATCCTCTGACAAGATCACTCCCAGGTCTTTTACATTAGTTTCTCGCTCTATTATGTGGTTGGAATTTGTTTTATACTCCAATGCAGTTTTAATTTCCTCACGTTTTCCATATCGGAGTAATTAAAATTTCTCATCATCGAACTTCATATTGTTTTCTGTGCCCCATTTAAAGATTTGGTTGATGTCCGCCTGGAGTCTTGCAGTGTCTTCAATAGAGGACACTATCATGCAAATTCGGGTGTCATCTGCAAAGGAAGACACGGTGCTGTGGCTTACATCTCTATGTCAGATACGAGGATGAGGAACAGGATGGGAGCGAGTACTGTGCCTTGTGGAACAGAGGTTTTCACCGTAGCCAGTAACCAGACTGGGTGGGTCATTGGGATAATCCGGAGGGTGGGTCATTGGTCTAATCCGGGGGGGGGGGAGGACATGGACCTGCTCCGCATGGGTCAGTAGGCCTGTTGCAGTGTTCCTTCTTTCTTATGTTCTAAATTATAGATCCACCTACCAACTTTTCCTGTTACTCCTTTACCACGCATTTTGTGCACTATTACACTATGGTCACGCTTGTCAAGGGCTTTTGCATAGTCTGTGTATACTACATCTGCATTATGTTTGTCTTCTAGAGCATTCAGGACCTTGTCATAGTGGTCCAGTAGTTGAGACAGACAAGAGCGACCTGCTCTAAACCCATGTTGCCCTGGGATATGTAACTACTGGGTATCTAGTTGGGTGGCGATCTTGCTTCTTAGAACCCTTTCAAAGATTTTTATTATATGGGACGTTAGAGCTATCAGTCTGTAGTTCTTTGCTATTGCTTTACTGCCCCACTTTGTGGAGTGGGGCTATGTTTATTGTTTTTAACAGCTGTGGACGGTATTATGATTGATGTGTACAAATGGAGAACCGGAAAATGGATTTAAGTTGGACATAGAGATATAGGGAAGTACTGGTTTGGCAATACAGTTGTAGAGGAGTTGAACAAATTCCCAAGCAGCGTCACTGAGGTGAGAACTCTGGGTAGCTGTAAATATAGGTTAGAGAGGACAGGTACATGAATGGTTGAGGATGGGTGTGAGTTGAAGACCCGTGGGCCAGTCGGCTCAACTACTTTAATGTTCTTAAACAAGGAAACTGTCGTATCAAACCATACCACGGGCGGGATTTGAACCCGCGGTCAGAGAGTCTCAAAACTCCAGACCGTCGCGTTAGCCACTGGACCAGTTAGCCACAATAAGATTCGTCCAACTAGGTATATTTCTACACCATAGGAAGGTTAGCATAGGCACCACTGTGACCACAAATGCAAGTTTTTACAGACGAATCTCCAGCTAGCGTGGCCGTGACGAACTCTAGCTCAAGTCCCCTCACTGCCGTCAACATGACTCACGAAATCGTAATGACACGATTGCAAACAAACCGCGGGTTCAAATCCCGCCCGTGGTATGGTTTGTTTGCAATCGTGTCATTATGATTTCGTATCAGGTGTAAACAGTTGTCACGTATGTCCACAAACATCAGTTATAAAATAACTTTAATCCTTCAAGAGTGCCTTTAAGCCCAAGGAGAATACAAAGATGAGATGATTTACATTATGACAGCTCTAGGCCTTGATGCTGGTGGAGGGTTCTTGATCCAAGGAACTAGACAGGTTGTGTCACCTTGCTTGGATCGAACCCTATAACCCCCCATTTCCTGAACGCTGTATGTCTCTTACGGGTTTGTCTCTCACCCCCTTAAGACATGATAATAACAATAACAACAGTATAATCTAAAATCTCGCACAGATTATCCGCGCTCAGTATACGTCTGGCAAGCCAGCGCTTACTCTACCAAATACAAGCTTGTACATTAAGCCTAAGATTCGCATATTTTAATGAATGAGTATAGTGTATTTGACATTTCTTGTTTACATTAATATGAAAAAGTCACTAACCTAATTTTAACGGAATCTTATTTTGACAGTATCGCCTCATGACAAACACACTTAAAATATTGTTAAGAAACGGTGCCGGCTATGATCTGTATTATCGTGTTTATGGTGATCATTTTATTATATATAATATGCAGTAAATTATAATCGTTCAGTATGGCAAAAAAGTAGCTTAAATGTCATTTTACTTGACTAACGTACGATAACCTGAACATTTCCTTCCCATGTTTTCAGTTGTCGTTTGCAAATGGCGAGGTCGGTACTCAGGCCAAGTCTACCCAATATTTTGTTATTTGTGGCACTTTATGCCTCTGATACAACTCTCTTATGAGCCAGAATTTTGGGTGAGCCCCACCTCAAGGCCCTGGTGCCCAGAGACACGATCTGAGTCTCTTGTATCGAGTGATATTTGGTGTTTAGTGACTGAGAGGGTGAGTGTATGAGGGACGTTTGTTGACCTCATCTGAGTTACTGAAGGAGCACCATGTGCTCCCATGTACTCCCATCATGTGCTCCCATGTACTCCCATCATGTGCTCCCATGTACTCCCATCATGTGCTCCCATGTACTCCCATCATGTGCTCCCATGTGCTCCCATGTACTCCCATCATGTGCTCCCATGTACTCCCATCATGTGCTCCCATCATTTGCTCCCATGTACTCCCATCATGTGCTCCAATGTACTCCCATCATGTGCTCCCATGTACTCCCATCATGTGCTCCCATGTACTCCCATCATGTGCTCCCATGTACTCCCATCATGTGCTCCCATGTACTCCCATCATGTGCTCCCATGTACTCCCATCATGTGCTCCCATGTACTCCCATCATGTGCTCCCATGTACTCCCATCATGTGCTCCCATGTACTCCCATCATGTGCTCCCATTATGTACTCCCATCATGTGCTCCCATTATGTACTCCCATCATGTGCTCCCATGTGCTCCCATGTACTCCCATCATGTGCTCCCATTATGTATTCCCAGCATGTACTTCCATCATATGCTCCCAGCATGTACTCCCATCATGTGCTCCCTTGTACTCCCATGTGCTCCCATGTACTCTCATGTACCCCATCATGCACTCCCATCATGTGCTCCCATTATGTACTCCCAGCATGTACTCCCATCATATGCTCCCAGCATGTACTCCCATCATATGCTCCCAGCATGTACTCCCATCATGTGCTCCCATGTACTCCCATCATGTACCCCCTATCATGTGCTCCCATGTACTCCCATCTTGTTCCAATGTACTCCCATGTTCTCCCATCATGTGCTCCCATCATGTACCCCCATCATGTGCTCCCATAAACTTCCATCATGTGCTCCCATGTACTCCATGTACCCCCATCATGTGCTCCCATGTACTCCAATGTACTCCCATCATGTGCTCCCATGTACTCCCATCATGTGCTTCCATGTTCTCCCATGTGCTTCCATGTATTCCCATCATGTGCTCCCACGTACTCCATCTGCTCCCATGTACTCCTCCCATGTGCTTCCATGTACTCCCATCATGTGCTCCCATCATGTACTCCCATCATGTGCTCCCATCATGTACTCCCATCATGTGCTCTCATGTACTCCCATGTGCTCCCCTGTACTTCCATGTGCTCACATGTACTCCCATGTGCTCCCATGTACTCCCATCATGTGCTCCCATGTACTCCCATCATGTGTCCCCATGTACTCCCATGTCCCAATGTGCTCCCATCATGTGTTCCCATGTACTCCCATCATGTGTTCCCATCATGTGTTCCCATCATGTGTTCCCATCATGTGCTCCCATCATGTGTTCCCATCATGTGCTCCCATCATGTGTTCCCATCATGTGTTCCCATGTGCTCCCATGTATTCCCATGTGCTCCCATCATGTACTCCCATCATGTGCTCCCATCATGTGCTCCCATGTACTCCCATCATGTGTTCCCATGTGCTCCCATCATGTGCTCCCATGTACTCCCATCATGTGCTCCCATGTACTCCTATCATGTGTTTCTGCTTTATTATCACCACTCTTGTGTATATCTCTGCAGGTTTCATGCACTGTCAGGTGTATCACAAGGGTGTATACACCCAAAGTTGTGTATCTCAGAGTATTTATATGTACACCGAAATTTTTATGTGCAATGCGAAGTTTATACGAGTGTGTGTGTGTGTGTGTGTGTGGTGTACTCACCTAAATGTGGTTGCAGGGGTCGAGACTCTGCTCCTGGCCCCGCCTCTTCACTGATCGCTACTAGGTCCTCTCTCTGCTTCCTGAGCTTTATCATACCTCGTCTTAAAGCTATGTATGGTTCCTGCCTCCACTACATCAATTGCTAGGCTATTCCACTTCCTGACGACTCTATGACTGAAGAAATACTTCCTAACATCCCTGTGGCTCGTCTGAGTCTTCAGCTTCCAATTGTGACCCCTTGTGTCTGTGTCCCATCTCTGGAACATCCTGTCTCTTTCCACCTTATCTATTCCACGCAGTATCTTGTATGTCGTTATGATGTCTCCCCTGACCCTTCTGTCCTCCAGTGTCGTCAGTCCGATTTCCCTCAACCTTTCATCGTAGGACATTCGCCTGAGCTCTGGAACTAGCGTTGTTGCAAACCTTTGTACTTTCTCTAACTTCTTGACGTGCTTGACCAGGTGTGGGTTCCAAACTGGTGCTGCATACTCCAGTATGGGCCTAACGTACACAGTGTACAGTATCTTGAACGATTCCTTATGAAAGTATCGGAACGCTATTCTCAGGTTTGCCAGGTGCCCATATGCTGCAGCAGTTATCTGGTTGATGTGTGCCTCGGGAGACGTGCTCGGTGTTATGGTCACTCCAAGATCTTTCTCCTTGAGTGAGGTTTGTAGTCTTTGTCCGCCTAGCCTATACTCTGTCTGCGGTCTTTGACCTTCCCCAATCTTCATGACTTTGTGTTTGGCAGGGTTGAATTCAAGAAGCCAGTTTCTGGACCACATGTCCAGTCTGTCCAGGTCTCTTTGTAGTCCTGCCTGATCCTCATCCGTAAATATTTAATTCTTCTCATCAACTTCACATCATCTGCGAATAGGGAGACTTCAGAGTCTATCCCTTCCATCATGTCATTCACATATATCAAAAATAGCACTGGTCCTAGAACTGACCCTTGTGGGACCCCGCTCTTCACAGGCACCCACTGTGATACCTCATCACATACTATGACTCGTTGTTGCCTCCCTGTCAGGTATTCTCTGATCCATTGCAGTGCCCTCCCTGTTATATACACCTGATCCTCCAGCTTCTGTACTAATCTCTTGTGAAGAACTGTATCGAAGGCCTTCCTGCAGTCCAGGATAATGCAATCCACCCACTCCTCTCTCTCGTGTCTTACTTCTGTTATCGTGTCATAAAACTCCAGAAGGTTTGTGACACAGGATTTGCCTTCCATGAATCCATGCTGGTTGTCATTTATAATTTTGTTCAGTTCCAGGTGCTCCACCACTCTCCTCCTGTTAATCTAAATGACTTTGCATACTATACACGTCAGAGACATTGGTCTGTAGCTTAGTGCCTCGTTTCTGTCTCCTTTCTTAAAAATGGGAACTACATTTGCCGTCTTCCATATCTCAGGTAGTTTACCTGGAGAGAGTTCCGGGGGTCAACGCCCCCGCGGCCCGGTCTGTGACCAGGCCTCCTGGTGGACCAGAGGCTGTTGCTGCTGGCTGCACGCAAACCAACGTACGAGCCACAGCCCGGCTGGTCAGGAACCGACTTTAGGTGCTTGTCCAGTGCCAGCTTGAAGACTGCCAGGGGTCTGTTGGTAATCCCCCTTATGTATGCTGGGAGGCAGTTGAACAGTCTCGGGCCCCTGACACTTATTGTATGGTCTCTTAACGTGCTAGTGACACCTGCTTTTCATTGGGGGGATGTTGCATCGTCTGCCAAGTCTTTTGCTTTCGTAGTGAGGGATTTTCGTGTGCAAGTTCGGCACTAGTCCCTCTAGGATTTTCCAGGTGTATATAATCATGTATCTCTCCCGCCTGCATTCCAGGGAATACAGTTTTAGGAACCTCAAGCGCTCCCAGTAATTGAGGTGTTTTATCTCCGTTATGCGCGCCGTGAAGGTTCTCTGTACATTTTTTTAGGTCAGCAATTTCACCTGCCTTGAAAGGTGCTGTTAGTGTGCAGCAATATTCCAGCCTAGATAGAACAAGTTTACCTGAAGAGTGTCATCATGGGCTGGCCTCCCTAGTTTTGAAGGTTCTCATTATCCATCCTGTCATTTTTCTAGCAGATGCGATTGATACAATGTTATGGTCCTTGAAGGTGAGATCCTCCCCACATGATCACTCCCAGGTCTTTGACGTTGGTGTTTCGCTCTATTTTGTGGCCAGAATTTGTTTTGTTCTCTGATGAAGATTTAATTTCCTCGTGTTTACCATATCTGAGTAATTGAAATTTCTCATCGTTGAACTTCATATTGTTTTCTGCAGCCCACTGAAAGATTTGGTTGATGTCCGCCTGAAGCCTTGCAGTGTCTGCAAGGAAGACACTGTCATGCAGATTCGGGTGTCATCTGCAAAGGAAGACACGGTGCTGTGGCTGACATCCTTGTCTATGTCAGATATGAGGATGAGGAACATGATGGGAGCGAGTACTGTACCTTGTGGAACAGAGCTTTTCACCGTAGCTGCCTCGGACTTTACTCTGTTGACGACTACTCTCTGTGTTCTGTTAGTGAGGAAAATATAGATCCATCGACCGACTTTTCCTGTTATTCCTTTAGCACGCATTTTGTGCACTATTACGCCATGGTCACATTTGTCGAAGGCTTTTGCAAAGTCTGTATATATCACATCTGCATTCTTTTTGTCTTCTAGTGCATTTAGGACCTTGTCGTAGTGGTCCAATAGTTGAGACAGACAGGAGCGACCTGTTCTAAACCCATGTTGCCCTGGGTTGTGTAACTGATGGGTTTCTAGATGGGTGGTGATCTTGCTTCTTAGACCCTTTCAAAGATTTTATGATATAGGATGTTAGTGCTATCGGTCTGTAGTTCTTTGCTGTTGCTTTACTGCCCCCTTTGTGGAGTGGGGCTATGTCTGTTGTTTTTAGTAAATGTGAGACGACCCCCGTGTCCATGCTCCCTCTCCATAGAATGGAAAAGGCTCGTGATAGGGGCTTCTTGCAGTTCTTGATGAACACGGAGTTCCATGAGTCTGGCCCTGGGGCAGAGTGCATGGGCATGTCATTTATCGCCTGTTCGAAGTCATTTGGCGTCAGGATAACATCGGATAGGCTTGTGTTAACCAAATTCTGTGGCTCTCTCATAAAAAATTCATTTTGATCTTCGACTCTCAGTCTGGTTAGCGGCTTGCTAAAAACTGAGTCATATTGGGACTTGAGTAGCTCACTCATTTCCTTGCTGTCATCTGTGTAGGACCCATCTTGTTTAAGTAGGGGCC